AATTTCTTCTTGTCTTAAATTTATTAAGACTTTCTCATAAATAAATATTTTATCGATATAAGAATTTCTAAGTATAAAATAGTACTTAACAAAATCTGTTATTTGAATTAGTCTTTGTACGATCTTGTTGTATAGAAATAAGCTATCGAATTTTAAAATTAAAAAAAAATGATAAGCATACTTTTTTTAAGAAAATTCTAAATCCATTTTTGCAAATTTATTAAAATATATAATACATGTATACTACAGTATTATATATATTATTACAATCGGTTCAATTAATAAAACAGTTTATGAATCGACTTCTTTAACTTTCATGAATGAAACCACGTGTACAAGTTTATGAATGAAATATTTTTTTCTCAATTTGCTGATTCGATAATGAAATGCACTCATAACATATTAATGACACCTTTGTAACCTGAGAACATATTTACGCATAAACAAATTGCGTATGTTAACATAGTTTCGAAAATTAAATAATTTGCATTTATTGAAGTGCGTTGATAATAATTTAATTCAAGATTCAGAAAAAATATTTATAAATTTGAATTCCAAATGATTTATAAGCACTATAAATTATTTGTATAGACCTATTTACAATATATAAATCAGTGTTATAAATAGCAATTACAACCAATTAGATTAATTATACGACAAGACGTGCATCAGTCATTCTAATCAGGTCAATGTTAAATAAGAAGATAATTCTAATCAATTTTTATATAAAATTTTATACTTCAACTTTTTATCTTGGTGAAAATAAATTATTTTAAAACACGTGCGCAAGTAAAAGCGATATTTTTAATGTAGTACTACGCCATTGGGACTATAAAGTTTTTATCGCATAATTGGCATCGTAAAAGTTTCTTGAAAAATAATTTGAATTATTATTGAAAATTAAACAATAGAGAACGATTCTTGACAAATTGAACGTATTTTTGACCTCCACATCTTAATCGATTTTAGAAAAAAATAAAGTGATCTGACGTGGTAAAAACTTGGTCTAGCAAGTTGGCACTTGTTCCCAAATCGATACCCTACCAGGCTGCTTGATATCAAGCAGTAGGGTATTAGACTCTCATATAACATAGTGAAATGAAAATAGCTCTTTGGATCATTTTTGCAATAAATCAATTAAGTCAACCAACTACTGGGTTTCTTCCAATTTGTCAATAAGCAAAACATGTAGAGAAATATGAATCGTTGCTGGCATTTAAAAAACATCCTTTCCCATAATGATATTTATTACAAACATTTCTTAACAACTATTCGAACAAACTACATCTCCACTTTGTTTATTCAAAATTTCTCCAAATTCATCAACTAATGGAATATTCCTTTTCTCTCAGTTCTACAACAAAACGTTTACAAAATTCCATAAAATATTTGCATGAGAAACAATGTATTGTACATCGATTCAGTTTCGAATAAATATTTATGAAGAGGCATAAAAACGATGGCAGTTACATTTTATAGACAATTCAATAGTATTTTCCATAAAGTAAAATGATTCTAGGCAGGAAATAGAAGGAAAAACAAATTTTGTAAATGTTTTCATAAATGTTGGTGCAGATGAACTGGAGAGGAAATATGAATAAATTAATTGAAACGTAACAGACTGACTTGAATGCGTTTTTAAATCGACTTTTTGGTTGAATAATAATAATTATATACACATCCACGAATTAAAATATACTTTATTATGTATTTTAAAACATTATTATTTTTTTAATGATAATAAATATTTAATATCAATATTTTTAACTATCCATGAGAGAAGCATATGATATCGCTTGAAAACCTGATCGAATTTTTCAAGTCATTCTGAATCTTTTGAGACCAAAATTGGCAAAATGTGCCAAAATTTGATCATTTGTGAGGGGAACCTCTGCACCGATTTCGATATCAATTTCATTCAAAAGCCATTTTTTTAAACTTTGAATTTGTTTTTGGTAAAGATTAGCAGGATGTTTATTTCTGATGAATCGTTGAAGCATTTATTTGACAATTTTATTGATACCTTGTATGATTTTATTCCATATTCTAATGTCCATGGTTCTAACAAAATATCCTAAAATATTGCAGGCCTATGAAATTTGGTGTGATTATAAAAAATCAAAAAGTTGAATTAATGGGCTGTTCAAAATTCTATCGTCACAATTACAAAAGTAGTTAAATCTCAATTTTAATTGCCTAAGTTGATTATTTAGTCAATTATTACTTAAGGCAGAGTGTCATTTACAAGTTTCACAACTAGTAAAGTAAAATTCCACATGTTGTTAAGTCGATGTGTTATTTGAATTGAAAAATTAATTGTCTTCTGCACGAAAAAAGCTCTACAAACAAGTTGTGCGTTTTCGTTTTAATGTTAACATGTTTTGTTTTGCATTATGACTATTTTCATGTCAATTGATTTCTAACCATTAATAGCTTTTATAACTTTAATAATACACTGCAGTTTCTTTCATGGATATTTTTTATACGTGATGTATGTATTTATAAGCACTTTAATAACTCACTCAGTCATTTTACGATGATGTTTCTGCCCGAGTTATTTAATGAAGTCCAAGTTACTTCACATTTATGTTGCCTTTATTTTTATACTCAGCAATTTCTCATCGTAGTGCCATTTGAAAATGTATCATGGCACTTACATTTCTTCCTCTGAATGATATATCATCTGTTACTTCGTATTATGAAAGCTTTTATAATAACTTTTTATGATAACATCATTTTAATGTTTTAACAATATTCTTTTATCTTACTGATTTTATTGCAATTGTTTCTTGCGATGCTTTATTTGAATGATTGGAAGGTCATATAAATATGTATAAATGTCTGCATTTAGACAAAGTTGTACGTAAATATGCATTATTCATGGACTTTAAACTTTAATCGAACGCCTTGAGAATATTATTGTGTTAAAATGGATGATTACTACCTTTTGACGCTTACTATTTTATTTTTGTAAAACTGAAAATTGACTGAAAGCAAGTTGCTAAAAATCAACATAATTAATAGTAATTCCACATATATAAGAATCCATATCGAGTTTCGTCAAGCGGCTTCTAAATTTTCGAGAACACGTAACTAGCTGAAAGCCTTACTCAGTAAGTAATATTGGAAACAGTATGTTTGTATGTTAACCCTTTCCACTCGCGAATTGCGAGATTGGCGGCATCCGAGTGGAGAGGCTAATGTAATATTTACATTAGCCCTCTCCACTCGGATGCCGCCAATCTCGCAATTCGCGAGTGGAAAGGGTTAACATACAAACATAATGTTTGCAACATGATTTTAAATGCATAAACTTCTCCTTCTAGGACTCAATCAAAATAAGATGCATAGTCCGACCACAATTTTTTATCATTGATCGATTTTCGTTATTTTCCGAATCTATTATAATTTCTCGCAATGATAGTAATGTTATATTAATATTACAATTGCTTAATTGAATGAAAATATAGCTACTGGAAAAAATGATTTCAAAAGCTGCGACGTAATTTACGAGTAACATTGTAAATAAACCGACCATGTTGCTCCTCGAATCTAATAATAACCCTTCTGCATCGTAATTACACAAGCGCTTATGCCAGTTCAAACGAAAGATTATATTATACATATACAGAGGTTTGTGTTCATTTTTATCGTTTGACATCTGTCCTTAGCCAGTGCAGTACATCAGAGATATTAAATAAAATTAATTTGCTTAGAGCCTTGAAATAAGACTTTAATGAGACCCGGGTTAGTGACCCCCTTGGCCTTGACTGATCGGATTATCACAATGAGAAGATTCCCAACAGATCTCATAGAATTAAACTCGTTCTGGTGGATAGAAGTTTATAATTAACGTCTTAATCGATGCATTCAAATAAATATGATTTGATAAATAAATATCGTATTGTATCAAACGTTTCAAATGATAATATATTCCTAAAGTAAATATTTTTGATTGGAGACTTCTGTTAGATCTATGAATGGTGAATGATGAATCAATTTGCTTGTTAGTTAAACTTGTTCTGGTTTGTGTGATTTGTGAAGAGTTGATATATATTGAAGCTTTTCTCTTCAAAATTGAAAACATTTCATTTAATTATTGAACAACCAATGCGTCGAAATAAAATATTAATTTTATGGTCCAGTTCATATATTTGAGAGAGGGCTCCTAACGTCACGTTCATTATTACATGAATTAATAACATACATATTTTTGAATGTATTATGTATTACTTTATGATGTTATCAACTTGTTGAAGAGCGCGCGATAAAAATTGATAAAACCTGAGATAAAATATTTTAGAGTTATATCATACCATATAGTAAATTAATATTACCACATTTTCTATATTTAAAACATTTCAAAACAATTTGTATCATATCTATAAATAGAAAATTTATTATAATATCATAATAGTTAAAAATAAATAATCTCTCGAAATCAACAATCTCAACGTTAAGAAAATCAATCAAAATATCGTACATCTTGATATCAATAATGGTACTCTGAATATTTACAAGTGTTAAAAAGATAGCGATTTAAATTAATCTCTGAAGTGATGATAAAAAGTAGTATAAGTTTTGCAAAATTCAATTAACTGCTTTATTTTTGAAAGCGACGTCCAAGACGATTCGGCCAAATTTATTCCGGACGTATTTCGTATTTGTGGTCGCTAATTCGAATATTTTATGTACATTTCTTTTTGTGATCATACTCATATTGTTCAACCAAGCGTTGCGGAGATCTGTTTTATTTATGATATGGTTCGATATTGAGACATAAAACTCGATGGAATTTCACCTTCGATTTATGTAGCTTCTGTAATAGAATCTTTCTACCTTTTCCACAAAATGTCACGAAAACTTATTAAGTTTTATTTTCACCATGTAGTGCTATTGGTAATTTTTTACAATGCATGAATGTTGATATGAATACAATAACAAATGTGATTATAATTATCTATTTTTCGTTTTAGAATTTCAATTTCCAAAATGGACCAAGAAGCCTTTGAAGCCTTGGCAGACTACAACCTGCAAGAAGTGCCATTCTACGAAGCGCCCCGACCGTCAAAACTGCGTAAAACAGTCACCTTCCTACCTTCATACACCCAAAATGTCGAAGACCCCACAATCAATATGATCCTCAAAGAAGAACCCGAGGAGATTACCCAGCAACGAGGAATTCGCAAAGTGCCTTCATTAAATGACCTCTCCGACGAAGAAGCATCTCTGGAACTTCCTGCCCAAGTTCCGCCCTTAACTCCGGGAACAAATAAGAAAATGTCAGAAGCCTTGAAAGCCTCATTTGCGTCATGGGAGAAAGAACAAAAGTTTTTGTGTATCAACAAAGACCCCAGGCAGTGGACAGAGGATCATGTCGCGCATTGGCTAAAATGGGCTGCAAAAGTTCTCTTTAAAGTATTTCTTTAGAAGGTTTCAATTCAATCTTTTGATGAGAGGTCGTGATATGTGCGCTTTGGGAAGAGAGAACTTCTTGGCCAGAGCACCTCCTTTTACTGGTGAAATTTGTGGGAGCATTTAGAAATCCTGCAGAAAGATTTAGAAACTACGACATCTTTACAAAATGCCGTCTGATATTTATGAATCAGTTTGTGCACCTGATATGTCTTCCTTCCTACAACAAGCAGCCCAAGGCCACAAAGGATGTACCCAGAACCAATCCAATCGCCTTACCACCTGATGATGCCCATGCATAGAGGGTACCCTTTAAAGGAAGAAGCTGCTGCTTATGGCTTACGAACCATTGATGACTTATGTGCGGTTTCTAATGAATATCAGCCACCAGCTGCACACATGAAAACTAACATGTATCAGCAACATCCATATCCTGAGCCAACGAGAGGAGATTTTTATAACATGCAAGAAAAATATTTCCAGAAACAAACAAATCCTTATCAACGCTACCCGGATCCTTATGGCTTTCCATCTCCTCCATCAGTGCCTTATCAACAACCTGGACCAGAACCAACATACACACAGCTACCGGAGAAACCAATGAACCAATTTAACAACACAAGTGGACCTGTTCAAGGGCCATGTTTTACTGGATCAGGTCCAATCCAATTATGGCAATTCTTATTAGAATTGTTGACTGATAAAACTTGTCAAGCATTTATTTCATGGACTGGTGATGGCTGGGAGTTCAAGCTGACAGACCCAGATGAGGTGGCAAAACGCTGGGGAATAAGAAAGAATAAACCAAAAATGAACTATGAAAAATTATCGAGAGGTTTGAGGTATTATTATGATAAAAATATCATCCACAAAACTGCAGGCAAGAGATACGTTTACAGATTTGTTTGTGATTTACAAAATTTGTTGGGCTATACTCCTGAAGAGTTACATGCAATGGTCGATTTGAAACCAGAACATAAAGATGGCGAAGAATGAAGAAATAGAAGTCATAGAATTTTATATAAAAAACTATCAAATCTGAAATATTAAGTTTATATGTGATTGGTATAAATTTAGGCTTTAAGATAATCTCCATGACTAAGAAAGGCTATATATTGCAAAGTAGTTGATTTATTGTTCATTATCTGTTTAAATAAGGTGTGCCTTATATCGATACTGGAACTTTAAGTATAAGAAAGGACTATTTGAGCTTATATAAATAATTATATGCTATTATGTGATAATGAAAGTTCTAAACTAGAATTTTTACATACATTTAGTATGAATCAATTCAATTGGTTACTAAGATATTTTAATATTCAGCAATTCATTGAACGAATAATGATACTATTTGTTATAGCATTGATTAATTGAAATATGAATAGAGCTGACCAATTTCAAATTGGTTTATTAATGTTTAGCAAAACCTAAAACTGACAAAGTAGAATTTCAAATTAAATTATGCACTTTTTTGCATAAGTAAATATATACCACCTTAATTATCATCAAACATATCCTAATCAAATTGGGGAATTTCATTAATTAAGTAATAAATTACAAAGTTAATCTATAATAGATAACAAATAAATCATAATTCTTGTTTCAGATTTAATCATTAAGCAAAATTTTATTTATTACAGTGAACAACGAATAATATCATTAACATTATTCTTTACAATATTAATGAGTTCCCTATTAATGTTATAAATCATACATATTATTTATTTCCATTGATCTCGAAATCAATATATTAAGGATTGGATAAAAACTAGTTTTATCATAATATATGCAATTAAAAAATGCAACACGACAAATATATTTTCATTAATATTATAGTAATGAAATAAAGTCACATTTTGTACTGCATATGTTAAGTGTCATAAATGGAATGACCATTCTTTTTAAGGACGACAATAAAATAAATTAGTATTTAATTAATAAATTGATAGTCTGAATTATGAAAGATTAGATATTTTATAAAAAATGTCTTCTATAGTGGTGTATAATTAAGTTATGTTTATGTAATCTATGTAGTTTTAGTTTTATCTTTGTATTTTGAGTAGCCATATTTAAACTTTATTATAACTTTATTAAACTAGGGTCAAGCAATTTACAAGTTTAAGTATTAATGTTATCGAGATATCTGCAATAGTTATTTTTGAATTGAATGAAAATATATTGATTTATTATAGAATGTATAATATGGCTTCCATTTATCTATATACCTGAATTTTTATTATATTTAAATTATATAAAAGATCATATTCTCTCTGTAGGATTATTAAGAAACGTTGTTTTTGAGAACAAAGCAATAGAATATATAAAATGTTTACGAATGTGCAATGTGGTGTGAAAAAAAAGCAATCGATGCTTTACAGAATGATTATATCCAAAGATATTTAAAGTTATGATGCACACATATTCTATTTGAAAGTTATAACTTATTGTTATGAGAAGCATTGTATGGAGAGATTGTTATTTGTACATTTCTTGCTTCGTTCTAAAAGCATGAAGAATATATATCTGAAAATGTAGTGCCTTAACGAAAACTGTCAGAATTAGCATATATTTTTATTCTAGAAATATGTATTTTATACAAGCTTTAAATATACCTAGTTTAATATTATAATTGGTTTAACTTATACTGTACACTGGCTTCCAACTTTCTTTTCGGCTTTAATACCTGACAGTCATAATAATATATAAAATGTTACAAAACTTACTTGAAGCTGATGATCTATGCATATTTTTTGTTTTCCTATTTATTTTGTATTTTCAGGAGAATAGTAAAATTAAATGACAGTAGCAATCTATTACCAATGGATTTATCAATACATCCTATTTGATTCAAGTTTTTTTAAAGACCTACAATAGAAACAGGCATTTAATACAATATTTGCAAAATATTAAAAAGTTGACTATTTTACAATACTATTAACCTTCTATTATTGCAACAGTATTAACCTTCACTACAAAAATAAACTTCAATTATTAAAACATTATAATACTGCAAGAAATTGTCCGCCACGTGCTTGTAGCTGTCAACGTCAAAAAGGTAGCAGAAGTAACAGGGCCACATTTCAACCAATTCTGAAGATTTTTAACAATAATAAACTCCTAATATTTTACAATATACATTTATATATCCAATTCCCATACAAACTACGGCAGCTAGACCATATATAAAGAAAACAACAGTATATAAATCCGTGGATCCATGGCTTAGAAATCTTATTGGATTCCTTTTCACGCAAGAACTGTCAAACGTTTGAAGTTAGTTCCTCACGAACTGGGAACGATTTTGCATAGAGGCGCTGCATGCAATCGTTTCTATGAACCTAGAAATCTTATTGGATTCCTTTATACGCTATTATATATAATTATGATCCCGGCTTAGGAGAAATATCAATATATACATTTATATATCGCTTTATACGCTATTATAAATATAATTATAGTTCCGGTTTTGAAGGAATATCAATATATACATATATATAACGCTTTATACGTCATTAGATATATAATTATGGTCCCGGCTTAGGAGAAATATCAATATATACAATCAATCGCATTGGGATTCGGCGATTCGTATATAAGCAATTATATATAATCCGAAGCCATTTAACGATCTCACCCACCCCGTCGCTGGTAATCAATTGATTGAATTTGGTACATGACTTAACAATATCTTCACATACCACCCTCGCCATTTAACTTGTCAAATGAAAAACCCCAAATGCACCCTTCGGGTTCGAACCAGCCTCCTTCTGATTAGAGTCTAGTTTAGCGCTCTAACCGTTACGGCCACGGCGACGAAGGGTTTCCGCCTGCTAACACTGGAAGGACATTCTTCGACGACTGACCATCATGATTCGAGTCAAGGTCACAGGGGGATGATATGGAAAAATTAAATTTTCACCTAGGGGGTTGAAAGTGAGCTCATTCGATTCTGCTGGTTCTTGCGAATTTCAAGCGGGGGGTTACAGGGGGGAAAATTTTGTCCGTTTTTCGCTCAGGAGAGCAGAAAATCGACTTTTTGTAATTTTCACGGTTTTTCTATGGGAATTATTTGAAAAATTTTTGCTTTTTCAAGGTGACCTTGACCTTGACCTTGACCACGACAAGGTCAGCACAAAATCTCCCCAAAAATTCCCATAGAAAAACCGTAAAATTTACAAAAAGTCGATTTTCTGCTCTCCTGAGCGAAAAACGGACAAAATTTTCCCCCCTGTAACCCCCCGCTTGAAATTCGCAAGAACCAGCAGAATCGAATGAGCTCACTTTCAACCCCCTAGGTGAAAATTTAATTTTTCCATATCATCCCCCTGTGACCTTGACTCGAATCATGATGGTCAGTCGTCGAAGAATGTCCTTCCAGTGTTAGCAGGCGGAAACTCTTCGTCGCCGTGGCCGCAACGGTTAGAGGGCTAAACTAGACTCTAATCAGAAGGAGGCTGGTTCGAACCCGAAGGATGCATTTGGGGTTTTTTATTTGGCAAGGGAGGTTTGTGAAATTATTGTTAAGACATGTACCAAATTCAATCAATTGTTTAACAGCAACGGGGTGGCTGAGATTGTTAAATGGTTGCGGTCGCAATGGCGATTGTTCTCATTTTTTGATTTCGAGTTCGAATCTCCAAGGAAATTTATTAAGTATTTTAGTTTATTTTTTCAATAAATTTTAAATAAGCATTAAAATATTGCTTGAAATATATAAATAATAGTTATAAATTATAAAAATTATAGAATTTGACACTTTTTAATTCAAAGTATTAGTATTCCTTAGTAATTAAGCAAGATAAATAATTAAAAATTGATAAAAAAAATTAAGGATAGTGTTGGTCAATATCTTAGTCAATTACTAAAGAATTAACAACTATATCTACATGAATCATTATATATGACCTAGCCACCTTACTTTGTATGGGAAATAAATATATAAATGTATATATTGCTTTTACCATCATTATATATTAGCTAGCTGCCTTATTATGTATGAAAATTCGATATATATATATATACCTCTTGCCTCTTGCGCATACGCAACCTGAAATACTCCATATATAATTATAATGTATTTAATAAAATGCACATAAAGATTATAATAAAAGAATAAAATCAAGTTATATATATGTTTATTTATATAATTACAAAATTATTTAAATATAATACAAAATATTTGATAAGAATAAATAGCCTATCCGAGTATATATATATATATATATATATATATATATATATATTGATATTACTTCTAAGCCTGAACCACAATTATATATAATTGCTTATATATATTATAATATTCCAAGGCGATTGATTGTATATATTGATATTCCTTTAAAACCTGGACCATAATTATATATCTTATAGCGTATAAAGCTGTATATAAATGTATATATTAGTATTTCTCCTAAGCCATTATTATATATAAAAGCGTATAAAGGAATCCAGTAAGATTTCTAGATTCATAAAGTGATTGCATGCAGCGCCTCTATGTAAAATGGTTCCCACTTTGCAAGGAACTAACGTGAAACGTTTGACAGTTCTTGCGTGAATAGGAATCCAATAAGATTTCTGAGCTCCTACGGTGATTGCATGCAGCGCCTCTATGCAGAATTGTTCCCAGTTCGGGAGGAACTAACGTTGAACCCATGGATAGGAAGAGCCGACATCGAAAGATCAAAAAGCTTTATTGGAATCTTATTGGATTTCTTTTTACGCAAGAACTGTCAAACGTTCTACGTTAGTTCCTCACGAACTGGGAACGATTTTGCATAGAGGCGCTGCATGCAATCACCTTTATGAATCTAGAAATCTTACTGGATTCCTTTATACGCTTTTATATATAATGATGGTCCTGGCCTAGGAGAAATATCAATATATACATTTATATATCGCTTTATACGCTACTTGATATATAATTATGGTTCCGGTTTTGAAGGAATATCAATATATACATATATATAACGCTTTATACGCCGTTAGATATATAATTATGGTCCTGG